TAAAATCACTAAAAGAAACTGTCTCATATTATATATCACCCAGAGGAAGTAGTAGGAGTACAAAATATTCATTACTGCACTAAAGTAGCATGAAGTAGCATGTTTCTGGTACAGTAGCTTTAAACTCCCACTAACTTATTTTTTATGACGACTATTTGACTTTTACTTTCTTACATGTTGAACTCAAATACGGCTGTACTTTCTAGCTTCTTACATGTTGAAAGCTGCAAAAATATAAAAAAAAAACAACATGAACACTCTACTTCTCAGCATGTTGAACTCCAAATACCTGAACTTTCTAAGCTTCTTAACATGTTGAACCCAAATACGCTGTAGCTTTTCTACTTTCTTACATGTTGAACTCAATACCTGTACTGTTCTACTTCTTAAGGCATGTTGAAACCTCAAATACCTGTACTTTCTTAGCTTCTTACATGTTGAACACAAATACCTGTACTTTCTACTTCTTACATGTTGAACCCAAATACCTGAACTTTCTACTTCTCACATGTTGAACACAAATACCTGTACTTTCTACTTCTTACATGTTGAACTCAAATACCTGTACTTTCTACTTCTCACATTTTCCAAACAGGCTGGTTCCTTTAGTCTGAATGTGTGTTTGGTGGCGTGATCATTATTATTTAGAGTCATTGCGTGCCTATTGATTTGAACACGATCCGTGTATCCATCATTTCCTGGTCTTCTCTAAAGAAGAGGGACCAATGAAAACGTTGTCATGTTGCCGTTGTTCAGCATGGAAACATTCATTAGCTAACAATGACATTATTGTTCTATTAATATAAAGGGAGGTCAGGTACTCTTTAAAACAGCTGCTAGTTATGGGTACTTTTTACTGAAGTACATTTCAAAGCCTCTTTACTTTGACTTGAGTAAAGAAGTTTAGTCAGTACTTCTACTTTCACCAGAGTATTTTTAAACACGAGTATCTGTACTTCTACTTGAGTAAAGGATATGTGTACTCTTGCCATCTCTGGGTATGGGCGGCACCCATAGGTAATATAATCACCTGTGTGAGGTGTGTTTGAGGTGTGTGTGAGGTGTGTGTGTGGAAGAGAGGGTGAGAGGGTCGCCGTATTTTTTGTTGAGCGCAACCTTTTCAGTGCTGGATTATTCAAACTGTATGTGTGCAAGTTACAATGCGTTGATTATCTTTCTTAAAGTAAGCTTGTTGCAACGGATGTTTGTTCCCGCTGTCGCTACATATAGAAAAACATGTTTTTACTTGCATAAATAAACACTTGTATTACGTCTGTCCTCTGTTTCCTGCTCACAGAGATTTCTGGGAGACGATCCACTCGTTCGGAGAAGAGCAGAAGAGATTGTTTCTCCAGTTCACCACCGGAACAGACAGAGCGCCGGTCGGAGGGCTCGGGAAATTAAAAATGATCATCGCCAAGAACGGCTCCGACACAGACAGGTGCGGAGACCTTTCTAATGTTTCATATACAGATACTGACCTCCTAAACTGATGCAATTGTGACAATGAGTCTGATCAATTCAGTTGTTTATGTTTACCTTCAGTTATAGTCAGCATACTTTGTTACGCAAAGTTGATATTTGACTTCCTGATGCCATTTCATTACATTTCATTGAGCTGATGCTTTTATCCAAAGAGACTTACAATAAGTACAATAAACCATAAAGATATCAACTCAGACTAAGAAGAAAAGTGCTGATATATTCGCTTCAAATAACCCAAACCATTGTAAGTGCTGGTTCATTAGCTTTGATGGGCTAAACCCTTTAAGTGGTAAATTAATGTACTCCTTTTTTGGGTTAATGTTCAAGGTACAAGCAAAACAGGTGGGTTTTTTAGTTTCTGGTAATGCCTTAAAGCCTCATTTGTTTCTGCAGCTAAAAGGTTAATACTTGGATATAATCCTCCTGGATGATTACACATGAATGCGGAACAAATGCCATACCAATATCCAGATTGGCTCCAAAAGCGATTGGGTTTTTCCTCGGCTCATGAAAATAGGACCTTTTTAGTTTCGACAAAATCCTGTTGATAGACAGACACAAATCGAGTCGAGCCAAAGATACATTTATACCAATTTAATAGTAACTGACAGTTAGTTATTATTACCCCTCTGGTGAATAAAAAAAAACGTGAAGTCATGTGACCGTGCTATAGTTCCTTTATAGCCCAACATTAGCCGCCTTTAGCTTAGCGGTGGTGACTCGAAGTCATGTCACCGTGCTGTAGTTCCTTTATTCCTTTATAGCCCAACATTAGCCGCCTTTAGCTTAGCGGTGGTGACGTGAAGTCATGTGACCGTGCTGTAGTTCCTTTATAGCCCAACATTAGCCACCTTTAGCTTAGCGGTGGTGACGTGAAGTCATGTGACCGTGCTGTAGTTCCTTTATAGCTATTGCTAGAATCTTGCTGATAGACGGACAAAAATCAAGTCAAGCCAAACCAAAGATACATTCGTACCAATTTAGTAGTAACTGTCAGTTAGTTACTTCCTTGTTTTTTGTTCTTGTGTCAAATTATTGTATTATCAAAACATTGTGACGGCTCAAATCAACCAGTTAATAAGCTTGTAACATTTCCCTGTCGGCCTTCTTTTAATCGTCCTACTTTCTCTCTCTTCCCTCAGGCTGCCGACCTCTCACACCTGCTTCAACGCGCTGCTGCTCCCTGAATACTGCTCCAAGGAGAAGCTGAAGGAAAGACTCCTGAAGGCCATCACATACGCCAAAGGGTTTGGGATGCTGTGATCCACAAAGAGAGAGAAAGAGAGAGACTGCATTTTAACAAAAACAAAAAGGGAGTATCACACTCAAGGGGCAAAGAGGGAAATGACATGAAACTAAATGCTGCAATAACCCCGTGCCTACAAGTCATCTCCACTGTGGGCCTTTTTCACTCTGAGAGCTAGTTTCATATTCAGTAGAAATGTCCCAAAGAGTTCGACACGGCACTTGAATAACAAGGTTTTATTTCTTCTGTTTCTGGGCAAACGTGAACAATATATTTGATTTTGTGAAACTGTGAAAGTGCACTTATAACACAGGATTTTATTGAATGCAGTGCACATGCAGTGTATTTATTGAACCACGTTGACTTTTATTGTGTTGTTCAGTGTTTCATGCGGTAGCAGTATTCAGTCCCAACGCTCTGGTGGACTGAGCATTATGGTGCTCCTTTGTAACGTTTGTTAATTAGCCAGGTTTCCATCCAAATGTATCGCACATTTTAACGAGTAAATTGATTAAAGAAGATGCTAATAAATGCTTGTTTTCATCGAATACTGCTATGCGATTATTAGAGGTGTATTAATCAAGATGAGCATCAGTAGGGAAAGCATTACACTCGAGACTGGTACGAGTGAGTCCTAAAAACTGTGAATTATTTTTGCACTTTTTCTCAAAGTCAATGGGTTTTCGTTAAATGGCTGAAATAAGATCTGTGGCAAACCCAAGTTTAAAAGATTGAAGCGTCGACATCAAATACCTAAATAAATTCCACACTCATGAACTTAAAGCTTTTATGTATGCTAACGTTAGCTTATTTTCCTTTGGCAATTGCATTATAGCTTCAAAGTCATAAAAGTTATGTTTGTTTTGTAAAACTTCTGGCATTTTTCGCAATTTATACGCAACTTTTTTTAGTTAGATGCATGAAATAACATCTGTGTTTAAGACAAGCTGAAGAGATTGATGATGAAATGTCAAAGAGAAGTGCAGGAATGAGGCCTACAAATCGTAAAAAGAATCGGCATTTCAACACTTTCGGTTCCCTCGTCTGGAAGTCAATGGTTTTATGAACGTGTTTTTGGTTAGATGCCTGAAATAAAGTCTGCGGTTAACTTAAGCCATATCCAATCAAACGTGTCAGTGAATACCCCACTGGTGAATTAATAAAACAATGTTGCTAACAAGCGTCTAAATGAAACGACGAGACGTCATCACGCCCAACATTAGCGGTTGTGACGTGAAGTCATGTGACCTAGCTGTAGTTCCTTTATAGCCTATTGATAGCTTTTTTTATTTTGCTGACGCGTTTATCCACAGAGTCTTACAATAAGTGCAATAAACCGAAAATATATAAACTCAGAACAAGAAGGAAAGTGCTGAAATATTAGCTTCAAATTACCCAAACCATTTACTTCAATCATAATCATAAAGTGGATATGGGGAGATTATCCTGCTGAACCAATGTGTAAGTATCCTAAATGTGTGTTTGCCACAGAGTTTATTTTTCTGGAGTAATCCATTGGAAAAAAAACAATGGCTTTGAGTTGAGGTAACCAGACCTACAAAGATAGTTCATCCCTCTAGACCTCTATGGCGAGACACAATTTGAATATAAAAAATCGGCCAAGTATTAAAAAAACTGAATAGAAATATTTGCTGATTTACCCAGGCATGCTTATATCGAATCTGTGAAGCACTGACAAAAACATTTTCCGTGTTTTCTGCTAAATTAGAGTTGATTTGCTTCACGTACTGTACGTCACAATTTCTTCGCTAAATCTGCACTTTCTTGCATTTTCTTTCATCCATACCCGAACTCTTACACCTCAGCTAAGCTTTAAGACGGTTCTGCAACATCTCAAGATTTATTTCGGCATTTCTGCACCGATTTTTCCAAGCGCAAAAATCTAAAATGTGCATCAAACAGGTGGATGGAAACACATCTTCAGTGGTACAGACTGCTAACACCTCGCTGAGGAGCTTCTATTTCCTCTCAGAGCAAACTCAGCACCATCTAAAGCTTATTATGTTGCAGTATTTTTTCTGTGTTGTGCCTCTTGTGTTACATATAACATGAATACTGCGTGTTGTGAAGCGTGACCACGAGTGTGTGTTACGATAGCTGCAGGGTTTCAGGTCAGCTTTCACATCCGGTTAAAACATCTGTTCCTCTCCCCTCGGTTTGTGTGCTATGAAGTGTTTCTGTTGCACATTTGTACGTGCAGCTGCCAAATGTGCAAAGCTTTATTTGGCCAAATATCTCAGGTACATAGAGAATGTGCAGTTAATGTGAAACTCTTATGTAAAGCAAACTATTATGCAAAATAAATTAAAGGTGAAAAAAATATATAATCTTTGTAATTGAAATAATTTCCACTAACAATTCTGAATTCTCTCTTAAAAGGACAGTATAGACACAAACATTTGAATGTTTATTTACATATAACATCGCAATTTACAACTAATAATGTATGTTAATATTATTTATAAACAGAACTGCATTTGGGTTTTTATGTACATTCACATTCAGTATGAAAGGGATGTTGTGTTGTTGTGTAAATGACATGTATTTCATACTTTACAGATGGATCAATATGTTTTCTGGGGTAAAATGTTAATATTGAAAAAAACAAACTCATTATTCTATAAAAAGCCTTTTTCTTTTCAAAACCTTATGAAGCCCAACATAACTTTAATAACCGTCCGATTTAAAGTTGTGAAACAAAACGACTTGGTTGTAAAAGATCGTAGTTTTGGGATGGAGTTTACTATGTGACGTTTGAGTCAGAAACTTGTGGATCATTTTCATTAATCGTCATTTTATGCCTGTGACATGTCAGAAAATAGTGAAAAATGTCCATCCCAGTAACTAAAAGTCCAAGATGCTGTTTTCAAATGCTTATGTTGTCCGTCCAAACTCGAAGATATTCGCTTCAATATGAAATTAAACGAAATCTCCATATTTGAGAGGCTGAAAACAGCATTCAATGACATTTCTGCATTAAAAATTAAATAAAACATACTGAAAATAGTTGTTTTCTGTCACACTTCTAACATAGTTTTGAAGGAATATCATTTGTGGTTATCTTTTCCATCACACTTTGCATTACCACTCAGTTCAATGCAGTTAACAAACTCGACTCAAGGTAAATACAACTTAACCTCTATGTCTGTTTTTTTTCGGTGAGGACAGATCGCATACACAAAGGTTTTTGAACCACAAACTCATTCATGACAACAAGCTGCATACCAGTGTTCCTTTAGGAAGCTGTTTTTAATGTATTATAAGATAAAAATGCTTTAGTATAAAAGGTTTTGTCTTCATGTTGGCTATTTTGTTGTTTTGTCTTGTGTCAAATGTTACCAAACGATCGTCAATTCAGTCGAGCCAAAACCTATAATGTAGTCATTTTGGTAAAAGGTATTTCACATGAACATTTATCTTTTAATCATTTTCTGATGAAAAACACAGTTTGAAGCTCTTTCAAGTCCGCCTAATGTTCTTATCCTTAGTCTTGCAAAAATGCAAACTTATTTGGTCAAAAATACGCAGAATTCACCACCCTAACCATTTGCAAGGTTATGCATGATGGTGGCACGATTTTCTGGACAAGGACAGCTCTGAGAGAGAGGAGAAGAGAAGGGGACAAGCATTTTAGTCTCGACTTTTCCTCGATATTGCCTGTTCATATCGGTGCCATCCCGTCTTGGAAACGATGTTGACGATCAGTATTCCCGTCACAGTTTTCCTCGACACTGCTGCATACACTGTACACAATTTGACACATTATGATGATAACAAACAGACAGATGTATAAATAGATATAAACATGGTCCTTTTTTGAAAAAAGTGTCTCAACCATCCTCCATGAAAAATCCCGTGGTCTCCCGTAAAGTCCTCCGGTTTCTCTCTCACTACTGGACCTTTTTGTCCTTGTCGGCCTCCACCTCGACCAGGTCTTGGGGTTGTATGGATTTGACCTTGGCCTCCATCTGGGTGACCCTCTGCTTCATCCTGGATTGAGTGGAGGTAAACTCTGCCATCAACTGGGCGAACTTTCCCTGCATCGAATCCAAGTTGGTCTGCAGTTTCTCGATCTTCTCCTCCAGGTCTTTGGGGTCGGCGCCGGCGTTGGCGATGGCCTCGTCGATCAGGTTGTCTTTCATCAGGATGGCTTTACCTTTTTCCTCCAGAGCCTTTTTGGCTTCGGGGTACTCGGTGAGAGACTCCACTAAGTCGTCTTTGGACAGCGCGAAGAGATCCGAGTAGCCAACGCTTCGGATGTTAGCCGTTCTCCTGTTCCCGGCTTTACTTCCCTTGATCCCTAAGATACTGATTTCTCCGAAGTACGCACCATCGCTGAGCACAACGAACTGCGTGACGCCGTCGTCCGCCACCACAGCCAGCTTCCCCTCCTTAATGATGTACATCTCCCTGCCGATATCGCCCTTCTTGCAGATGTAATCTCCAGGGCTGAACACTTGTGGCTGCAGCTTGAGCACCAACTCAATCAGCAAGCCAGCTTCGCAACCCTGGAAAATTCGCACTTTCTTCAGCGTGTCCAAATGCACGTTGATGGCGATCTCGGCCTTCAGTTTGTCCGGCAGGTTCTTCAAGACTTCCTTCTCGTCGCAGGTCTTCTTCTCCGTCCACAGGTAGTCGAACCACTTGATGACTCTTCCCTCGAGGTCTTTGCTGACCTTTCGAAACTGCATGTACTGCTTAATGGAGTCGATCTTCGCCTGGAATTCGGCGCGAGAGGCGTTCATGTTAGAGATCATGGCACCGACGTTACCGACGATACTAGCGAAGATCAGCACACCGGTAAGGAAGTCTGAGATGACGAAGAGGAATTCGACGTCCCTCACGGGCGCTGGGGTCTCTCCGATGGTTGTGAGGGTCAGCGTGGACCAGTACAGCGAGTAGATGTACTTCCTGGCCAAGCGTCCGTACTCCGGGTGGCTGATATTGGGATAAACCCACGTGTCGGTTCCAAACCCAATAGTTTTCGAGATGGCGAAGAACATGCAAGCGTTCCAGTGGATAATGGTCAGGATGTAAAGTACGAGGTTGCTGATACGGAACATGTTCGGGAAGCTGGTTCTTGTTTCAGTCCTCTCGAAGAACTCAAAAAGCCTCGTCATTTTGCAGAGGCGGTTGAATCTGAACTCCGGGTTGTTGTATCCGAATTTGAGAAACAGCAGATCAGTGGGTATCATGGAAATCATGTCGTATTTGAACTGAGGCGTCGTTTGGTATTTTTCTCGCAGTTTCTTCGAATCTTTCACCAGCAGGCCTTGCTCCAGGTAACCTGAGGGGGAAACACAAAATTAGGAGCCTTAAACATATTCTTATCACAGCACTATCATATAAGAAAGAACATACATCTGTTTGCAACTCACATATCGCATCAATATTCCAATTACTGTATATAGACTATTCTGCACAGTTTCTATCATATTCTGTTTCTATTATATTCCATTTTATTTTATTTACTTGCATTATTTTATCTGTTTTATTGTGTTGCACTGTTGGAGGAGCCTGTGACCTATGATTTTCGTTGTCATAACTACACTGTTTTTTGAGTTTAGTTTTTTGAGTTTAGTCAGTTTATTGAACATGTCAGAAACAAAACATACAACAATAATATATATACACTGAACAAAAATATAAACGCAACACTTTTGTTTTTGCTCCCATTTTTCATGAGATGAAATCAAAGATCTAAAACATTTTCTACATACACAAAATAACCATTTCTCTCAAATATTGTTCACAAATCTGAAAAAATCTGTGATAGTGAGCACTTCTCCTTTGCCGAGATAATCCATCCCACCTCACAGGTGTGGCATATCAAGATGCTGATTAGACAGCATGATTATTACACAGGTGTGCCTTAGGCTGGCCACAATAAAAGGCCACTCTGAAACGTGCAGTTTTGCTTTATTGGGGGTGTCTGGGGGGGTCCGAAAACCAGTCAGTATCTGGTGTGACCACCATTTGCCTCACGCAGTGCAACACATGTCCTTCGCATAGAGTTGATCAGGTTGTTGATTGTGGCC